GGAGAAAAAAAAAGGAAGAAGTGAGGGCTGGCAGTAGCTAAACGCAGGAAAGAGGAAGAAAAAGAAGATTTCCGCCACTCTCTACAGCAGCAACTTTTCACCTCCGGATCGAAGGCCAAACAAAGTCGGATCGTGCTCAAATTTTAGTATGTTGTTCCTCACATACTCCTCTTCAAATCCAACGGTCAGATTCTCATTTTGATGCTCGGAAGGCTGTTTTCTAGCTACATTTTTAGACCTGCGTTTTTGGGAGTTTTTACTCCATTTTATGTTGAATTGTTGATTGTTGTTGTTCCAAGGTTGCTCCTTGATGATTGTGTATGCCTCTAGTGTTTACTAGAGAGGAGAACTTGTTGTACCCACTTGGTTCTTGGTGATTAGTGGAAGTTTGGGTGCCGTTGTTGAGCGGCCGTGGTTTTCTCCCCGATTTGGGGTTTCCACGTAAATCGTGTGTTCTTTATCTTATTTCCGTTGCTATCTATTTGTGGTGGTGGTGCTGATTTTTGGAGTATATTGTGCTTTATTGTTCATCTCATTAATTTGGGGAAAAGATTTTATACGCTTCCGTTGTGTTTTGTTTCGTGCTTCCCCAACAGAAAGACACTATGTTTTGGTATTCCCTCCGTCGGCATTTTGATTACAATTCTATTTTCTCTCTCCTCTCAATAATTTTTATTTATTTGTTTGTTTTCAACTTTTCATTGATTATTTGGTAAAATAAAGTATAGTGTCATTTTTTGTTTTGTAGAACTTTGAACGTTATTTTTTAATACTCCGTATGTAACTTTTATTTTTGTGAATGTGCAAATTTATAAATAAAATTATTTCAAAAAATTGTACTCCAGGTAGTATTTTACTCCTCTTAATTCAATTTTGTAAATAAAATAGAGAGAGGATAGTGCTATCACTGCAATGGGGAGTTAGGAACTTGGGCTCATCTTCTTTTTTTTTTTTTAAATGGAATTAATGAGGTTGAAGAATGGAAGTGACGTGTGTCATCTCCTCCGCACAGCAACTGTCGTGCATGCACTTCTCCTATATATCCCATTCCACCCAAACCTCATCTCTAATCCCCCCACGCCCCCACTTTGTACTGAAACTTTTTTATTGATAAATAATTTGATTGTTCAGTACATTCTTGTCGTCCATTAGCTAGCTAGCTAGCTTCTTTTTCTGTAAGATTATTTTTCACAATATGTAATAAACTAAGCATTGTTATTGTGGAAGAAGATGATGGAAGAGAATAGTAATAATAAGATTATTAGAAATAATGTTTTTAAGAGCAGGGGAAGGAAGAGATTGATTATTAGATGGTTGTTGGAGAGGGGAGTGAGACTGGGTAGGAATGTGATAATGGCTGCCGCGGTCGTCTCATCTGCGCCGTTGGTTCTCCCTCCGCTCTTAGCCATCTCCGCCGTGGGATTTGTGGTGTGGGTCCCAGCTGGTGTTGTGGTTGCTGGGTATGCTGCTGTTGAGAAGCTCATGGCCGCCCTGCTGCCACTGCCCCAACTCCCTTCTTCTTCCACACCTCATGATGATGATGAGAAAGATTTTGATGAAGAGGGAGAAGAGGTTTTTGCCATTGATGAGAATTTGACAGAGGGAGTTGGTGAATGCTTGAAGAGAGAAGACGGAGGGGGCAAAGATGTCATTGGTGAATATGGGAATTTGGAGGAGAAAGGTTGTGAGGATGATGGTGGGAAATGGTTGGAGGAGAAATGCTATGAAGATGATGGTGAGAAATGCATCCAAGGAGAAGAAGGTGAAGCCATGGAGATCACAACTTGTGTGAGTTTGGAAGAGGAATGCAATGTGGATGACTTTAGCAAGAGCTTGGAGGAGGGAGGACGCGCGGACGACAAGTATTTGAATTTGGAGGGTGCCGACGAATACTTGGAGGGAGGAGAGCAATGGGGCTTTGAAGAAATCCCCGTTGAAGGAGATGATGATGATGATGATGATGATGGAGAATGCTTGGAGGGCAAAAATGAGATTAACATTAATGCTCATAGTTTGAAGGAAGGTTATATGGAGGAACCAAATGAAAGTGAGGAAGAGGATTTGAAGAATGTTTCTAACCCATTCGAATCCGGACCGAAATATGCATCAGATGGAAGGGATTATTCTGAATGTAGTGTTGACTATACCTGCACCATTATTTCTGCAGGTATAGTTCACAAATCTATCCTCTTCCATCTTGGTTTCAAACAAGCTCATTCATGATATTATATGTTCCCTTCTTTTTTTGTGCAGAAGAAGAAAATGCAGGGGAGCAGGAGGGTTCTCTGGGATCGCACGCAGCTGAACGCAGCAACGATGTCGAAACTAAAGAGAGTGCAGATGAACCATCCACTGAGGTCACCCCCTTTTGAAAACACTGGACATTATATTTTCTAGACTAGATTTGGTCACTTTTTTCAGAGTAAACAACAATAATTCAGTATAATCCATAGAGTAAAAACACGCAAATCCTTGTCCCTCTGTCCTGAATGTGAGATAAAGTACGAATGAATGTGAAAAACAATATGAACAAATTTTGGTATGAGGCAAAAGTAGTAGGGCGGAGGGATTAATTTTTTTTTTTCAGCGTAAAAAGACATAAATCGTGCTTACATGATGTGTTAGGTTATGGCCATGATAAGTGAGGAGAAGATACAGGTTGACTTGGAGAGGGATCTCGTCGCCAAAGGTGTTGATGAGAAAGATGTTAATGGAGAGCATTGTGAACGCATGGGTGGAGAGGGGAAGGTGATTGCCATTGATGAGAATGTGGAGGTTTATCTAGAGAGTGAACATGGAGAGGGAGAAGATGATCCCATTCATGAGGATTTGAGAAAGGGGTGTTATGTGGAGGAAGTTGGTGAATATTTGGAGGGAGAAGACGAGGAGAACAAAAATGAGGATTTGGAGAAGAAGAAAGCTTATGAGGATGAAGATGTTGGCAATTACTTGGAGGAAGAACAAGGTGGTGCCGCCATTGATTGGAATTCGGAAGATGGCGAACGCTCGGATGACAAAAAGGAGACCAACAATGCTCGTATTTCGAAGGTTGAAGTTGAGAAAGAGTCGCGTTGTGGTATTGGCGAAAGCCTCCTACAAAAGGATGAGCCAAATGCGAATGAGGAAATGGACATTAGTGTAAAAGATGATGTTAATGCACAAGCAAGTGAGGAAAGTGTAGCCGAAACCGAGAAGCAAAGAAGCGTGGGAGAAGATTTGAAGAACGATTCTACCCCATTGGAATCCGGACGGAAATACGCATCAGATGGAACGGGTTCTGAACCTAGCAGTACTGATGACTATACATGCACCCTTGTTTCTATGGGTATGCTTCCCAATCCTCGCCCGGTTCGGTTTCAAGAAGTTCATTCATGATTTTATATGTTTCCCTCTTCTTCTTCTTCTTCCTTTTTTTGTGCAGAAGAAGGAAATGTAGGGGAGCAGGAGGATTCGATGGGATCTCACACACTGGAATGCAGCACCAGTATCATCAAAACTAAAGAGAGTGCAGAATCATCCAATGAGGTCACTCCTTTGAGAAAAAAAACTTGTCTTTATATTTCGAGTAATGCTAGGGGTACACCGAAAGTGGGCCCCATTTCTAAGCCACTAGTCTCCCCGTCTCACATTTCTTATCTAATTCGATCATGCTACGAACCCACCACGGGTACCCCAATCACATATGATTTATACATACACACACAATAGTCATCTGTGTTTTTTTCAGAGTAAAAAGACATAAATGTTTTTTTTTTGTCTGTGGTTAAATGATGTGTTGTGTTAGGTTATGGGCACAATGAGTGAGGAGAAGATATGGGAACAAGTGAGTGCAATAAGGGCAATCTTGGGATACAAAGATGCAAAACAAAGATCCACTGTGGATGAGATAAAAGCTCTGTTTGTGTTCATTGGAGTTGAGCCACCATCTCCATTTGATGACCCTTCACACCTCACAGATGTCTATCAGAAGCTTAAGATTTTGATGTCAATTGTGGGAACCAAATAGCCACTTTTGGAAAACTTGAGTACTGACAATATGATGAGGGTCACTACAACGCGACACGCTACCACCACTCTTCACGACACTACTAGCTCGGGGTCTCCCCCTCCTTGCTGATAAAATAAAAAGCCACTTTCTGTGGACTTCAATTTAAAAAAAAAAATTGCTTCTTTTTTTTTCCAGCTCTGGGGACATTTTGGTCACATATCTGTACCATGGGTAGTAATTTTTTTTCAATTGTGTCTGGCATGGAAAATTTAAAAACTACTGTATGTAGTACATTTGTGTAACTCATTTAATGTGTTTGGACTTTGGCATGGTAAATTCCTCTACGGTAGGGAAAGTAATTTCTATATGATTTTTTGAATTCTTGCGAAAATGACACTCTTGACAAGATTCTTTTTTTTTTTTTGAAACAGTTCAACAGTTTGAATTTGCTTATTTACAAAATTAAATGGATTGAAAATTTACAACTTTTTTGAGTTAAATAAGATACATAAAACTTACTTTTCTGAAATAAAAAACTTCTCGAAAAATGTTTTTCACAAAAAGTACTGCCTCATGTTTAAGGTGAACATTCGTACAAGTATATCTGTGTTGTTAAAGAATGAGCCTCATCCCCGAGAGTCCTCTTAGACCTGGTCAGCAGATTGGTGTCTAATTTATAGCTATTATCTTTATATTACAGAGAAGAATTTTACTGAATCATTAGCCATCTATGATGTCCAAGTTATTATCTTCATAATTCAAATTAAATCAGTTTTCCTACACCATTAAATTAAAAATAAAAAGTATTTGGCCAATTTAAAGTTATAACCTTTATATGAGAATTTGGCTGAATCATCAGGCAATAATGGTTTCCAAGTTCTCTTCATAGTTCAAAATAATTTTTTCCAAATTCATAACATACTCTTTTGTAGATCTTTTAATCTTTGGATTGTCCTCACACGATATTATCTATTGTTGGAATTTTAAGTGTATAAGACACCAAAATATTGGATGAGTGGCTACAACTAGCGGTGATTGACGGAGAAAATCGGGATGAGTTGTATGGTAACTGTCTGGTGGGGGAGTTTGATGGTGGATGTATGGTGGAAGCCAAGACAACAGGGTAGGGATGGTGGTGGGACCGTGAGGGTGGTGGTTTTGTGGGTAATGAATTAAGGAAAATTACTACCGTGCAAGATGGGAGAGAAGAATGATAATTTAGTCATTTACTTGTCTGCCTTGGTTTGGTTGCCAAAATGAAAGTAGATGAATACTACCGAACGTAGAGAGTATTTTCATATTTGTTTACTTCTATTCAAGTAGATTTCTTTTGTGAAGAAACTACACACACAACCCGGTGGTGTGAAGAAACCACACACACACACACAATAACCTTAGGAGTGCAAGGCTTTTTAAAGCTTAAAAATAACATCAAAGTCATTCTTGTTTCATGCAAGGACAAAAGATCTTCACATGCAAACCATATGACATGTTCGTCTTTCCTTCTTTTCTCTTTTTTTTCCTTTTCGTTCTTTTTGAATATTTAATCAAATTCTCAACAAACTCCACCTTAATTAAATAATCAAAAAATTTGTAGCTGTATCTCACTTGTCATGTAAGATCACCGCTACTCCGAAAGAAAAAGAAAAGACCCAACAGTATAATACTTTGAGATGTATTTGAAAATCTTTGTTGGCGTATCTCATTTATTGTTAATCATATTGTAAAGTTTACGATGCTTGTTTGTCTCAATATATTCTTGTATTCAGTTTTTATTATATATCATTTTAAAATAATGTAACTATTACATAGTCTTTTATGCACTCAAAAAAAGTCTTTTATATTTGTCAAGTGTTAAATTTCTACACTACTGATACAAAAAACTTCGAAAATTGTATTTGAAAAAAAAAAGAACTTTCAGTCATATTAATAAGAGTCATTTGACTTGAAAACGTCCAAAAAAACATTAGTTTCCACTTAGGCATAGTATTCTTCTATAAAGCCAAAATAATGAAAACAACTATTGAAAGGAAGAGAATGTACACCATTCTCTAGAGGAATTGAAAGATGGGTAATAAGAAAGAGGCAAAGTGTATATTACATTACCTGCAAAGTGTAATATTATGCCCTTTTATTCTCTAGAGGAATTGCAAAGTGTATATTGTATCCTTTCGTTTATGTCGTGAAACAAAGTGAATAATACATTACCGGCCTGTTCTTTATAGAGGAAGACAATGGACTCGACTTTCAACGTGAATATGGCTGCGTGCTTTCGTTTTCAGAATCAGACGAATGTGAAAAACATCTTAACATAGAGACACAACAAGTGTTAGGGCAGCGTGATGTTTTATTAGGTCGGGCATTGAGACGGCGTTGGGATTTGGGTGTGGCATTGTCCAAAGGAAAATGTTTGTAGAAAGCTTTCACGGCTCCTGTTGCCCCGTCCTCATTTTCCATGGCTTTTGCCAGTTCCGTTGCCCTCTCTTTAACCTGCATCGTCAAGAACTAACATATCCACCCCCAGAAATTTGAAGAAAAAAAAACAAAAATGATGATAAAAGTGTTCTCCTTTGGTTCCTTTCTCATCATTCTTCATCCAATTAATCCTTATCAAACAGACTCTCGGAGTCATAAATAATACACTACAGTTCCTTTGACAACACAATTTGTTGTCGTATTATTACAACAATGGCTGCGGTGCACCGTTCGAAAAAATTGATGGTTTCTACCCCCTGCCCCCTTCCCCCTCCCCAAAACGCCAATTGGCTACAGGGGCAGGAGGGCCGCTAGGGTGGGGTAGCAGGGGGATTTGAGAGGGTAGGAACTAGGAACCATCAATTTTCGAACGGAGCACCGTAGCTATTGATGTCATAATATGATAACAAAATCTGTTGTCCAAAGAAGGGAGCTGTATGTAAAATAAAGTTCTTACATTTTGCTCAAATAAAAGTTTTGAAGGCAATGTAATATTTTGAGAGACTAAGTCCACGTTCCAAGTGTTTGAAAATTATCAATTTCAACCACATGGAAGCCTTTTCAACTCCAATGAAGGGGGAAAACCCCCCAACAAGACAGGTTAAGTTACCTTTGGGTCAAGCATGAATTGAATAGCAGATACCAGCTTTTCAAGTGAGAACTCGTCCACAGGGATGGGTGCAGGACCTACACCCCTAGCATGCACACGGTCGCCCCAAAAAGGTTGGTCTCCAAAGAAAGGCACAACAGTTGTTGGACACTAGAAATAAATCAGAAAATATCACTTGAATAAATCAATAAATTAGTAACGTGAAAGTCATTCATGGTTTGCTTTCCCCGATGTTTTTTTGGGGAGGGGGGGGGGGTTACCGCAGCTTTAAGACCAGCAGCAGTTGTTCCTGCACCACCATGATGCACCTGGACAATTTCACCACAAAATATAATTTTAATACTTGTGAAAAGAATTTTTCATTGGACAAACTTATCTGCGCTGGGAGTAAAAAATTTAAAGTCATACAACCTTCTAAGAGAGGAAGGATTTAGGATTTACTCTTAAGTAAATCTATGGAGCATTACTTATGATTTTCCAAATTTAACCGTACAAGATCAAAATAAAAGGCATTGTCAAGTGTAGGAAAAAGGATTAGAAACACATTGCGTTAAGTGTGTGGACAAAAAGAGTTTGGGTTATTTTGGTAAGATCAAATAAGTTAAGATAAATGTAAAAGTTTCATGCAAATTTTTCAATGGGTGTGATTTAAATAGAATAGACAGGTAACTAGGATGGAGGGAGTAGACAGTGAAATAATTTGAGAGAAGGGGGGTTACCACAGCAGCACACCTAACAAAAAGCCAGTCGTGAGGACAACTATCCACTACATACACAAAGTCCTTTGGCTCTTTTACTGAGATTTGAAAAATACTTTATCAGAATCTCACAACTCCAAACTTCTTCATCTATAGCTAATAAATATTTTCAGAGATGAAAGTCATATGCTTGTATGAGGCAATCAGCCACTTACATTTCCCCAGACCACCCCATCCTTCATTAATTATGCCTCTCTGTCCAGTCATCTCTAATGCCTGAACAATTATCTGTGTCATTCTTTCTGGTTCTTGAACAGGCTGCAAGAGGACATTGCATATAAATATTTCATAAAAGAGTGCTATGTATCATTTTTCTAGAGTTATGTAAAGTAGTTATGTGGTACACCATACACCTGGAGAAAAATAACCCGTTATGCTAATACCTATTGGCTATTGCACTAGATTACGGAAATTTCATTTCTAGCTAGAAGAGACAAGATTTTAGCCATTCAGTATTGCTCTCTTGGAAATGCCAAGACAGTGAGCTGGGTATACTAAATAAATAAAATCTTTGAAAATGTAAGCTCAGTACCTTAGTGTAATACAAAATTTTTAAGAGTATGAGTAACATAAGTAGTCAGCACCAACTTACAAGGCTGCCAAAGCCGATATATATGGGCTTTTGACCATCTTCAAGCCACTCTATAAGTGCTTTTGGGGGATCATAACTAGAAGCAAGGTCTAGAAAACAAAAACCCACAACATCAATTTTGGGCCCCCAATCTGCAAAATATGGAGAAATAGACTTATTGGTATAGTATACTACCACTCTGACAATGCATGTCAAATGCACATACTACATTCTGTGATCAAGCCCCTAATAGAAAGGCCTGGTATCCAGAAATGGAACAGATCACATAAATGGAACAAACCAGATCACTGTTTTTATGTGTGATATAACCCCATGGAATAATGAAATACAATACATTCAATTTTAGGAGACTCTAGAACTCAGATTTATTTTGACCTGCTATGAACCAATATTCAAGTCATGTTCCATTATTTGCAGATAAGAATAACAAAACATGACAATAAAAACATCTCAACTCATCAAAGTCTCACGATACTCTCCATCATGTGGAAATGATGGATGATGATGGTTTTAGAATTTTCATCTCATTTTTTCTTCTAATAAAAGTTGCTATAAGAATGACATCAAGCATAAAAATGTGCCACTGTTTTTTTCATAAACTAACAGTATTTGTTAATCTATACAACTAATTCACACAATAAGTTTAATGCCTTCGACCTCAATTCGTTGGGATTAAGGTGCTGATAATGATGATTGATGATGGTCAACTAACATTTAACATGTTCTATCAATGAAAAATCTTCTTAGTATTCATTTGCAACAATGTTATGGTGTTTATAAGTCTCATTTAAGCAATCTAACAAATTTTTAACAGATATTGAGAAATGACCTTTGGGTTTTGGAACAAGGTGTGGACTCCAGATATACCCATATGGAATGTCGGGAGATGGCCAGTAAGAGTTACTCAAATATGTAATTGGCCTTAGTTTCAATTTTTTCTTTCTGAAGCTATTAATCACGTCCCGCATTCCGACCCAGATTAATCCACCGACCATTTGGTATGACAACTTCAAAAAAAAACTTAAATGTTATCAAATAAACAATATAGTGGGACAAAATGTATCAAAGTTAGGGTATTTTTAAGAGGAAGAAGAGATCATAAAAACACAGACTTTGTAAGCAACTGGCTGTGAAGCACGATAGAGAGGGTGTGGGAATTCACTTGTAGGCCTGGAAGAGGGCACAGTAAGAAACTAAATATGATAAGAAAATCATACAAGTATTAGTAAATAAAAGCATAAGATGCCACTTCGTTTATTTACTCATAAAATACACCTAAGAGGCTAAGACTAACCAATTTTGACAAGTATCACTAAATACTGAGTCGCACCAATGAAGAAAACTTCAAGTAAAGAAAAACACTTACGTCCACGGCATTGTGAAAAATATATGCAATGGTACCTCCAATGCTTCCGCAACATCAGTATGCCCTGAAATAAACAAGTCATACACAGAGACATGCTTCTGCAACATCAGCATATGATTATATTCTTACCATATGCTGGAGGGTTGGCAATGATGGCATCTACATCGAATGGAACTTTCGTTACTTGATCAGGTTCTATGCACGCAGGGAGCAAGGATGATACAATATCTTTTATTTGCTTGCGTTGAATGTGTATTTCAGAAGGCCCAGATGGCAAGAAACCTTTATTTCTTACCATATCTGCATGCACGAGGCAATTATATCAACTTCTGTTGGTTGAATATTTGAATATGAATTCAACAACACTCAGTTTACTTCTGATCACAGATAGAAGAAAGAATGAAAGTGATTTACTGCCGTAAAGGAGAGATAAGCAAAACCACAACCGTATAGGCCACTATCTTTTACCAAATCTCGGGATCACAAACTCTCCCCTAAATATTTTGGGCCTTTACATGTTCTCAAGAACGTTGGTCCAGTTGCTTACAAATTGGAGCTTCCACATGACTCCAAGTTACACGAGACCTTTCATGTCTCTTCTCTTTAGGAGTTTAGGGATACTCCTTCCCTAAGTTCCCTTGCTAAACTGACGCTACATCATGTGGGGAAGGCAAGCGGATGATCATGGAGGGTCAAATAAAACGGGAGCCACACCAAACTGTTACTCAGATGGGAGAGTTTGAGCTCTGACGATGCGCCATGGAACACGTGAGCACATGGCAGATTTTACACAAGCCTAATATCCCAACTTTAGCTTGAGGTCAAGCTTGTTGTCTAAGAAGGTAGTAATAATATTCCCATAATTACATAACACTTCAAGAAAGGAAAGGCAAGCAAAGCTAAATTTGGAAACAAAAACTTGGCAGCTTTGGAAAAAGATGTTATTCATTAGCATTAAAGAAAATCCTTTAATGTTGTCAAATACTTGGGGATTACCAAATCACTTGGATGATTTTCCTAGTTTAATTAAATGTAATTTCCTATATATTTTAATAATTTACATTCCTCAATTACACCATGTTCGAAAGTTGATTGAATTAAGAAGTCTGAATCTTGATTTAAGGACTACTCTCAAAAGCCCATGTATCTCTCCCCCTCTCTCCCTCTCCCACCATCGGTAAGAAGAAGAGAACTTTTAACAAACCACCCCACAACCAATCCACCACGGAACATCTAGCACCTGTGATGAGGTTATTTGCAAAGGTACACAATAGAAAGATGAAAAAGAATGAAGCATTTGTTGTCCAAAATCACAAACAATGCAGTTGATGGAATACTTCAGAAATAAAAACAATCAATTAACTTATAAAACCAACTTCCAATTGTTATGACTTATTTCCAAACAACGGCAGTGAAACAGGAACTGACTCTACTTTATTTGAGCTGGAGGGGGGAGGAGTAGTGGGGGGTTCCGCAAACACCATTAAAAGCAGTGGTATATATTTCGCTAAAGTACCACAAAATCCAATCCATGTGTATATAATGATTACATGTTTCCAATCATAAAACAAAACAGATAAACAACATTATGGAGAATAATAGCTCACAAAAGAGAGTGAAAAAAATTAGGTGGAAACAAAAAGGTAGCTCCAATTGAAGTACATATATTTTCTCCCGCTACAAAGAAAAGCATATTTGTGAGTGTGTGTGTAACATTTTAGTTGTATGTACGGAGTATAACTCAAAATAAATGAGCTACAATACAATAGTGAAAAGACTAATAATAAAAAATAATAATAATAATAATTCAAACTTACAAGAAGCAAGGACATGTGGATCTCCACCAAGAGGATAAAACTCCAACCCAGCACCCAAGACAAACTTTTTAAAATGGGAGTGGGTAGCTAACCTCACCCTGTGACCATCCTCCTGCCAGGGTGGAAAGTAGCTAAGAAAATAATAAATGATTGTGTGCCTCTGTTATTATTTTTACCTTTGTATGTGTTAATTTCTAGAGAAGATAATTGACAGGATGCAAAACACGATGAGAAGAAACCTTCTTATTAATCAATGACTTGGAGTATGCACAACCACGTCGATTAGATAATGAAGAACAAATTGCTTAGAAAACAAAGATATGTATTCTTTCATCATTTTACCCTCTTCAGGATTCTTTAAAAATGTATATATATGCCTTTATACACAACAATAGAGCAGAGGGGATGGGACTTCTTCCAGACAGAAACTTTATTCTAAAATCAGAATACCATTAAAACTTAAAAGGGGTTGATTTCTAATCAATGTGATAGAATAACAGTACTAATATAAACCAAAAATACAATGATATCCAAGGCTATCCAGTTCTTGCATCGAGGATCAATCAAGCTTAGGATGCGGCGATGTGCACTGTTGAAATATTAGGGGTGGTGTATACCTTACAACACATTCACACACACCATCTTTCTACCACCTTTTTTAGCCATCTCGTCCACGTATATAATGGTATGTTCCTCTTCCTTGGTAATTAAAATTAAGTAATATTATCATAAGTAATAGATTCTTAATACCATCTCACTTAAATCTAGTTTCTCTTATAATGTTTCCGCAATTTAGTGGGTTGTGGTGGTCTAACACCCCCTGCTAGGCGCTAGCCTCCTAATAATTAATATGATAACATACTATAATGTTTCAGTCATCATTCTATAACTTCCTTCCCACGGTTCTAGGTAAAGGTCAGAACCCATTATCTTCATGTGCAAGTAGCCCCTTGAGAAAATCCAAATATCAAGTTGAAAAAGCTATTTACAGGTTAGAAAAAAAACAAAGCTTCATGATGAGCATTGAGATGCATCCCTTCCATATTTGTTGAAATTCCGGTAGGCCGAGAACAAAAGGCAAAGTGTCGGGTAAAGTTAACCACGCCCACTAGAATTTCAGCAATATTCTATATCACTTGACTACTTGCAGACTATTAAAGTCAATTAATCAGTCACCAGGCGCTACAACATACTTATAAGAATACCAAGAGAGTGTTTGATGTGGCGATGAGCATGGATTTTGTTTATATATGTATTGCAAGTTGCACATACAATTGGAGTGGAAAGCCATAGTACCGAGGTGTAGCAATATAAGTTGAAACAGAAACAATCAAGGGATGGTTTGGATGCTTGATTTTACAATGATGGTGCAAAAGAGAAAGTGTCGTCACTGTCAGTGAAGCTAAGAGTGTCGACAATGTTTTTGCTTCGAATAAAGATGCACTAAATTACAATGGTAAGTATTCTTTGCTTCCTACTTTATATAAAATTTTGGGTAGTATATGCAGCAATGCATGAAGGGTCTACCTTAACCAACCCCTCTCTTTTTCACATAGATAAGACTACACACATCTTCATGCAGACCCCAATGTTGCTGAGATTGTTCTGGGTTTTGTTGTTTCTGACCCAAAAGAGAAAGCGACTTATCATCTCTAACTAGGCTTCGATGTCTACTAAACATGTGTTTAGTTTCACTTGTATTGTGGAAAAGTACATTTCCATGTCAACCACTAGATGTTTTAGTTCCAAAAAAAAAGCATAGTTTGTAAATTAATGAAGTGTTTATTGGTGTTAATACGCACATTAGATTCATAACTGCAGAAGATAAAGTCAAACAGCCGTGTTCAGAAAGGGGTCTTAGACTGTAAAGTCGGGATCTAATCATCAATATATAAATGGATATCCCTAATAAAGTCTTCACCTGCAATTTTTTCCCAATGGCAACAAAGGGTTGTACATCTCCTCTGGTTCCAACTATTAGCATAGCAATTTGCATTGGAGGTATGTTTTGAATATCTGATGTAGTAGCAGCTTCATCCATAGGCCTGTTGTAAGCAATTCCTGTACCAAATTCAACACATTCAGGACTAATATACTCATGGAAGTCCAATTTGTATGGATCCATCTTGTCGAATGGGACCTAACTGTTTCAGCAATTGGAGCTGCCAAAGCTGCTATTTATTACTTGAAAATACTTGCAGATGCATTTCATTATTACATGACTCAATATTACTTCATATAAAATGTCAAACAACGTTTTTAATGGCTTAAGGCCCCATGAATTACCTTCAAATCTCTAAATTAATCATTCTGAAAGATGAATAACTCCTTAACTGCTACTTTTCAACAACACAACCCCCCCCCTAAAGCAGAGACAACAAATGCAGCAGAACAGAAACTAAACAAGGCATGATTCTAAGATGGTATAATAGTAAACACTGACCTATACTTGGAATTTAATGGCTGTTTTCACCTAACCTCCATTTTTAGAATGATTTTTTTTCATAAAAGAGCTTACAACAACAACAACAACAACAACAACAACCCAGTTAAATCCCACAAGAGAAGGGTCTGGGGAGGGTGTGTGTACGCAGACCTTGCCCCTACTCGAAAGTAGAGAGGCTGTTTCCAAAGAGACCCCCGGCTCAACGTCGAAAATTGCATTGCTTGACTAACTGCTACTTCATTAATTAAAGAAGAGCAGATAGTTTAGAGATCCATTTTGATTTATTCCATCACACCCCAAAGCCAAAAAATGGTGAAATTTTGGCTCCATCGGAGATGATGGAATGTCATAAAAGAGCTTAGATCCTATAAATCAACTACATAGTTTGTGTCTTCCTTTCTTAGGCTAAGAATTTAGAAAGACAAGGTGAACAATGGGGTGTTTGCCATTGCTTGTAGGAATAGCAAGCTTTGAAAAGCTGACTTGTAGATAACTGTTTCGGAAAAGCTGCAATTTTGAGCTTCAAAAGGCCACTTGAAGAAGTAAATTGTAATGAAACTAAATTGGAGTTAGTTTTTTTGGATGCATCAAACACTCCAACATTACGTTTGCAAAAATGTGGAAGCTCGGAAGTTTATAAGAACAAGTCCTACATTGGAATAATACAGTCCAAGCATACTGCAAAAAAAAAGCCTGAAAGGATGATTATGGATCCGGGATCTTATTAATGCACTAATTAATTTTCTCTAGGAGAACAACTTTTCTAGATGGTCTAATTTAATGGAACTTCATTCATCTAAAGAAACAACATAACAAAAAAAATCTACATCCTTTGGAATGTTGCAACTATCTCTTTAATTATCTTATCCAAAGCAAATCCTCATTGACGGCCAATTTTAAATCACCACTTGTAAGCTGTAACACATCAAGTTCAATCTATTCCCTACTTGGTCCATATAAAGCCATGCCTTACCACAAAATCCTTTGGAATTTCTCAACACTTTCTTCAGTTGTCTAATTCAAAACAGACCATCCATGCCTGTCAATGTCCGCCTCTAACAACACATCAAACTCAATTCTACAAAATTACTAGGTCTAAACAACCAGAAAATCCATAACCGCAAGGCTGAGGAAGAAACGAAGAAGAAAAGAGATGCAGAGTTAAAGACAAGAGTAAGTGCCTGCAAAATCGGTACTGCCGGAATTGTATCGGAGCGACTCACCTGGAATAGCATCGCCATCTTCTACGAGTATTTCTACTGATCCCAAATCGGAGGAAGAGTCGCCGGAGCTGCTAGAACGTCGATTGCTCCGCCTTTTCGCCATCTCCTCCATTGAAAGCGAGAGATACCTAGCTTGGCGTTCACTTCTTCTTCCCCTCTCTCTCTCTCTAGAAATTGTTAAGAGGGAAAATCGTTGCGGTCGTTTTGGCGGGCAGTGAGAGGGGAAATGAACCGTTGGAGGACACGTCCCCATAGGCCATCACGGAAGTTCAATCTCAAAGGCCACGTACACAGCTACTCTATTAGCTGTCTACCTTTTTCTTATTGTACAATTAAGTGTCTAGATTATATCTTAAACGTTTTATCTCACTAATATTTGAGTCTAAAATTTTCAAACTTTTTGTTTGATGGTCAATAAACTATGATGGGATAGTGAGGACACATAAACAACTAAAGTTAAGAAGGTACTCCATGAATAAAGTAATTTACTTGTGGTGTAGTATTAAATGTGCTGGTTTTATTTTGACATTTTCTAACGAGCATATATAATATTTGTTCTAAGTTTGTAACATAGCTATCAATGGTTGCTCATAACATCTTTTACAAGTATATGATTAATTTACAATGTGTTTGTAATAGCTGATGCGATAATCTAAATTAAAAATGCAAAGATCTGAGGAGGCATATGTCTTGCTATGAGAGATTAGTGTGTGTGCCCTTTTAATGGTTGGCCAAAGGTGTCGGTTGACTCCTTTTGTCGTTGGCGATCAAGAAGCTAATAGATGACCCTTCGTGGAGAGCAACCTGGGATGTCTGAACACATCCCTAGGGATGATTTGGCCAGTTAACTTTCGTACCAAAGCGATTTTTAATACTTTTTGCATTTGTTTCAATCCTTGTTATTCTAGTAGTTATGTCTAGAGGTGGCAATCGGATCGGTTCCAGTTTGGAATAATTTGATTTGGTTTAATTACGACTCGGTTTAATTACGACTCGGTTTAATTTCGGTTTCATACATTTTTAGTTCTGATTCGGTTCCGGGTCGGTTCGGATGCGAATTGGTTTAGATCGATTTCGGTTTCAGATACATTTTGGTTCGGATATATTTCGATTCAGATATATTTCGGTTTGGGTATATTTTGGTTTTGAGATCATTTTGGTTTTGAGATCATTTCCCTTTTTCAGATCATTTGGGTTTTTGATTTTGAATCATTTAGTTCGGTAATCGATTCCAGATCTGTTTTGTGAGGTCTAGTTATACAGTTATACCCTGAACATGTTGAAATCCAAATGTGCAAGGCCAAGTCTCCATCATATACAAATAATATCTAATATTTATCAATGTTTAGAAATTTATCTACGAAAATTTAAAACTTAAGTAAAATACATCCATACAAAAAAAGTGAATTATATTTTCAAAATAAACGCTTTACTTAAAAAAATATAAGTAAAAATAATATATTTTTGATACTCTATATTACTCCGTAATATATTTGTTCGGTTTGAAATTATTCTATTTGGTTCGTTAAAATATTTATTGTTTTTTTTATAGTAGTATAAAATATAAATCTCGTTAATATTCAGGACTAATTTTCCGCTCGATCGTTGGGTTCAGACGTTCGGTACATGTTACTCTCTCCGTTCTACAAAATACTTCCTTTTTAATTTTTTTTCTATCACTAAAACACTTCCACTTACTATTAAAAATCACATTTACTCATACTTGTTCTTACTCTATCTATCACATCATACTTTTTTTAATAATATATCTATCACATCAATGACAAAATTGGAAGTCAACCATAATTTAATACAGAGTATTTTCTTATTTTAACATCCTTTAATATAATAAAGGAGACTCGGATTCACCAGGATGCGACATTTGGCATGCCTATTTGGAAAAAATTGAACACGTCAGCGAGCCACGTATATTAATCCTTTATCTTACTTACATATTTATAAATTTCATACTTAAATTAGTAACAAAGATTTATTAATGAAAATTCGTGTATATATAGGTTGAAATCAATAGAGTACCTATACTAATAAAAATTCCAATACTATTTTTGATTCCTTACATATTTGTCTTACTTCCATGACTATATATTATTGATCACTTTACTTATATATGGTCATTAAAAAAAGTTATGGAAAATATTATTAAGAAACAATCCTAAATAATACTAAATTTGTAAATTATGATCACGAGTATATTATTCGTCACGTTACTTATATTATGTACCTTGGATAATACTAATATTATTTTCCATCTATTTACTTATATATGCCAATCCTTAATTATGAATCTTGGATAATCAATAATATTATATGTAAATATATGTATTCAGATTACAACAATACGAACTCCAATTACGAGGATAATATTAAAAAATTAAAAATAAATATGAAAAATATAAATACTATTTAAAATGTATAAAAGAAATATAATGTTTTTAATTAATTTATATAGAATTTCAGGACCATGCTACATATATTTATCCTTTACCAAGGAACTCTCACCATAATAAACTCCTTCCTAAAATACAAAAGGTAAGTAAATAATTAAATGTGAAACTCTCTTAATAGGGTCGTGCCTTAGAAAATGTTTCATGCATAGTCATGAATGGTATGATATGATTTCCAAGAATAGATTATTTCCTTAACATATGGTGATTTACAAAATTTACGAATAATATTATTAAGAAAAAATCCTAAATAATACTAAAATTTGAAAATTATGATCACGAGTATATTATTCATCACCTTACTTATATTATGTATGTTGGATAATACTAATATTATTTTGGATCCCTTTACTTATATATGACAATCATTAATTATGTATTTTGGATAATTAATAATATTATTCTGAATTCGTTTGTTTTTAGTAAGGAATTCGTTATATCTAGGATGGACACAATATTATTTTGAATTCCTTACTTATATACTCCGTATCTAATTGGCAATGAGTTAAATTGCTCACTTTTATATCCAAATTTATGGAAACTCTTATATACTTGGGTCAAAATCTTATTATAAAAAAGATATATAATGTTTTGAGATGTGCCATCCACCACCCATTTTCATTTTCCATTTCAATACATATGCATTCAGAATCAATTATGCAATAAAGAAGCGGAGAATCATTAATTCAACTTCAGCCTTTTGTTTTTTTAAAGGATTGGTGGTAGGATCATCCTATTTTTCAATTTCAATTGGACTTTGGAAAATCAAGTTGACGATACATAGACGAGATTAGCTAGAGATGCAAGAGAAAGGAGAAAAGTAATACTTCAACAAAAAAGGACATAGAAAAGGTACGTACTTTAAATATCGTTTAATATATTTAATTTTGTTTTATTATTTTAAGGTAATTTGATACATAACATTTTGAAATTTTTTTAAAATAAAAAAATCAAACAGAATATTAAACTTACCAAAATTTTTGTATTTAAAATTTATATGGATTCGTTTTAATGAGCATTCAAAATTTCTTATCTTCATATCTAAATCGGTAGTATAGATAAATTAATTTATGTTAAATAAATAAAGTTTTATACAAAATTTAAAATTAGATGTCAATTTTAAAAGGATTTAACAAAATCTCCATGTGAAAATGAACACTCCAAGCTAAGAAAAGATTACATAAAAATATGTGTATTTTTTTAATTATAGTCATGTTATTTGATCAATTATAATCTACATCCGTAAAAAAATTAAATGGCGTGGATGACACACACTGCTTTCATACCCCTACGATACCCTTTGTTGGTTCCTTTCGGGAAAGATGGGTATCAAAAAAATATTCCTATAAGAAAATATTTTTTGTGAATAAAGATGTAAAACATCCGCATATATTAGTGAGAGAATTTGTTGCGTTTCGACTATATGAAAAGGAGAATGATGAAGGGGTTTTGTTGAATGCATAGAGATTGTATTTATAATTTTCAGTTGATGCATACACGATGGTTGAAGCACAAAGAATCAGTGGGTAAAATTTAACCAGGATCAATTTAGAGGAGATATCATGAGTAGCTTAGAGGAATCTGTTATCAAAGGTGATGGACAACCGGGCCATTTTGAATCTAACCGGTTGACCACTTGCATATGGACTCCCATCCCCTTGATTTTTTTTGAGCGCCAACACCTAAATGACCACGAGCCGCTGGGTATGGACTTCCAGACGAGCAATCGTGTTAAACGGGCCAGAGGCCGTTGGGTACATACTTCATACGGACAACTGGGCTAAAGACTAATGGGCCGCTAGGAATGAACGTCTAGACGGACACTTTGACAAACGAGGTGGGCCAAAACCTGCTCTGATACCATGATAGAATTTAGGATTGGGTAGAGACAACTGGATTGAGCAATAAGACACTTGAATTGAACCACATAAAAAGATTGAATCCAATCGATTAGTTAGTTCAACTCAAGGGCTTATATACCAGTTTATTTTCTCTTCATGTTCCGATGTGGGATACTCTTTAACATCAAATGTTCAGGAATCCCAAACCACAAAATAGTCTTGAAAAAGGGGTACCGATTATGTTATTGAGGAACATTGACCAAATATCTGGATTGTGTGATGGGAAAAGATTAATCGTTGAAGAGCTGCGAAATAATTTTATCGGTGCAATTCTGGTTTTGGGAAATTGAGTCGGGGAAAAAGTTTACAGCCCTAGAATGAATTTGGTACCATCTGATCCAGGTCTACCCTTGAAGTTCCAAAGAAGACAATTCCCGATCGCCTTATGTTTTGCTATGACTATAAACGAAAGTCAAGGTCAAACATTGTCATTTGTGAAATTATTTTTAACCAAGTCAGTGTTCACACATGGTCAACTATATGTTACTGTTTCACGAGTGAAGACAAAGACAAGATTAAAGATATTAGTTCTAGATGACAATGGAAACCCTTGATTGCAACCATACCAAAAATGTTGTATACTCTGAAGTCCTTCAAAAAATTTGGTATTAAAATAAGCATTGTTAACTCCACATTCTGTTCCTCAAATATTATTTATTTTACTTTTGCTTTTTTCATCTATAGTATTAAAAATCATTTGTACAATAAATTTTCTTTATACCGAAAAATAAATTTAATTGAAATAATTCAGAATCGACAAAACAATTTTCGACCCCGTGCATGGTACAGGTAAGAATACTAGTTTGATTAAAATTGGAATCGTTTTCAAGAACGTAGGGAGTAGAAGTTTAGAACCCTAGGCAGAGTAATTAGATAGGTTGAGTATATCATTAATGAGTTCTTTTGGTAATGAAGCATCAAAATGTACAGTTTTTTTTTTTGGTAGAGGGGGAAATGGAAAGGTTTAAAAATGGAGGATAATTCACGCTGGAAAGTTTTTTCCCAAAAATGGTAACATGCATGTTCTTGATGGCGAACAAAATTGAAGAAATATGGACGAATCTTTTCATCGCCGAGATCTCTCTTCTTCGTCGGATCCTTCGTCGCTGCTCGTCGAGTATGAGCCAAAACTCCGATTCTCAGACTTCATAATGCTCTCCTTCATAGGATCTCCTTCATCGGCTGATTCCCTGATGCTGCTGCTGGATCTCAGATTTTCGCTAGCACTAACGCTGTAACAGAAGCTCATATCGCCGCCGTCTTCATCGGGATCTGAGATTCTGTCATTTCTGAAGTTGATCGAGTCGCTCTCCTGTGGAGCTTTGTCGAAATCGACCATCAGCCTTGAGCTCAAATCTTCATTACTGCTCAGATCGCCGCCGGCTTCGTCTGTGTATGAGATTCTGTCATTTCTGAAGTCTATCGAATCGGTCTCATGTGAAGATTTTTCAGAATTGCTCGTCCGCCTTGAGATAAAATAGTCATTTTTGTAGTTATCATCATCATCATCCGATGATGATGATGATGTATTGCTTCTTATGCTACTTGATCTCGTGTTAGTTATCCTCGGAGATTTACCTCTTTGGAGCTCTGTATCTTCTCCTTCGTCTTCATTGTCACTGTGATCTGATGAGGAAGAAGAACTACTATCACTGCTTTGGTCGTCACTGTCGCTGTCCGATGCGTCTCTCTCTGGATCATCCGGTGATGGTCCGACTGTATCCTTTAGCGGGGCTGTGGGAACGGGTGGTTCCTCCGTTGAGGCCACCGCCAGGAAACTGAGAGCTGCGACGACGTCACCAAACAAGGGGCGAACTGAGGCCTCTTCTTGAAGACACATGGCGGCAACACCAACTGCTTGATTCAAACTTGTCATTGGAAATGCCTTCTTCAGTAATGGATCTGCCATTTCTGGGAATCTCCTTGGATCTCTGAAAATTGGCCGTGCCTGCAGGTAAATCAAAGCCTCCATTACCGATAGTCGGATTAAAAATGCAGGGTTGAAAGCAAAGTTGTTTCCCAATACTGTTTTGATTGAGTCTTTGGATGAATATTTTATTTAAAAAAATTATTCAACATTAAAAAAAGAATTAGAGAGTACTTTTTGGATGTCTTGCGGAGGTGTTGCAGTGTCCATCTCTAGTGGATGAACAACTTGGATATTTTTTTCCAAAAAATAACTAAGCAGGAAAAGCTGAAATCAAGAAGCTACAATTATAGTAAAAACAATGAAAGAATATGTAATTTACGGTTCCTTGATTTTAGTGTTTCAATGTGTTTCCAAAAATGTCCAAGGCTAGGTAATTCTAATAGTGGTAATAGTATATTTTATTCTTTTATAAATTAACACACTAATTTTGTTACCAAACAAAACAAATACAAGAGGTTGTGCTGCCTATATACATGTTTACTTGACAAGCAATGAAGAGATGTTATAGGAATAAAGCCCAAGTTTTCTTAGTTTAGAAAAGACATAGTTCTGTAGAAACTAAAGCATAGAGAATCTAACACAAAGAATCTACAATTCACAATCTTTTTATTTTTATTGTTGCGAGAATGTCTTATCATAATGCATATCAAACACTAATTTAATGTTGTATATTTTACCTAGAGCAATGTCATAAGGCTAGAATCTAGCCAAAATTTCCTGGTTAGAAGTGAAATTACTCTAACTTTCTGGAAGTTTTTTAGATATTCAACCTTTATCCAAAATCTAATATGACATAAATGTTTTTAACTATCAAAACATGGCTAGAATCTATCTCCAAATATTTTGTCATTTTCTTAAATTAGTATTTTCATAGCCAAAATGGTTAACAGAACACCTAAATTCACTAATCAAGATGAGAGAATATATGTAATGGACATTAAAATTTGGTTTTCAGATTTAGTAACCTACCCACTCCACTAAGTTTTGTTGATCTAATGGTCTTGCAGGATCCACAGCTCTGCGGCCTGATATAAGCTCAACCAGAACAACTCCGAAGCTGTAAACATCAGACTTCAATGTGAGTTCACCTGTCCTTTCATACTCTGGCGCACAATAGCCTGTTCCCATGACCCCTGGTGTCAAAAGTGTATTACTCCCTCTGCCCTCGAGCTTAGCTAGACCATAATCCGAAAGCTTTGGATTAAAATCTTGGTCCAACATAATAGTCGATGATTTCAAATCTCTATATATGATGGGAGGGTTGGCCTTCTCATGTAAGTATTCTAGTCCTTGGGCGACTCCAGAAGCTATTTTCATCCTGGTGAGCCAATTTAGTGGTTCTTTATCCTCTGTTAGGCCTGCACTTGTTACAAAATAATAAAAAAAAAAGAGTTGAACCAATAATAATTTGCTACATTCTTTTAAGCATTGGAAGTACTAAGATTGTATTTAGGGAATGCTATTTGATAATTTGCCAAAATCAACTTCAGCCAAATAGGCAAGTTGTTTTAAGTAATCTCACATCAGCTATATGTATATCTAACTACGGAGTATATCCCTACATATAAGACATTGAAGTACTCATTCTATCAAGTTGACTTGTTAGGATGCATCCCCAATTTTCAAGATTGGTTTTCTCTAAAGACTATAATGAGTCACTAGGTGTATTTACCAATGAGTCTTGTGAAACAAATAGGTGAAAGGAGAAGTGCTCACCAAAAAGATGGTCTTGAAGACAACCCATAGGCATGTCTTCATAGACCAAAAGTCTCTGTTCACCATCAGCACAATATCCAATAAGGTTTAGAAGATTAGGGTGGTGTAGAAGGGTTAACACCAACACTTCCACTGAGAAGTCCTTGCTGTCACGTGCCCCTGTCCTATCTAGTCGTTTGACGGTCACAACCTGTGGTTAATCTTATTTTTAAAATAAATGTGTCGAATCAAAGTAACAAAAAAGTTCAGACCATAAGAATCGAGAGTGGTTGATTAAGAGGAGATGGAGTATGTACAGACTCCATTCGTCTTAAAAGCTTGACTAGAGATATTTTCGATTCAGTTTATTTAACTATTGATGCAAAGTAAAATAACAACAACAACAACAACAACCCAGTTGAATCCCACAAGAGTAGGGTCTGGGGAGGGTGTGTGTACGCAGACCTTACCCCTACTCGAAAGTAGAGAGGCTGTTTCCAAAGAGACCCCCGGCTCAACATCAAAAGTTGCATTGCTTGACTAACTGCTACTTCATTAATTAAAGAAGCGCAGACAGTTTAGAAATCCATTTTGATTTATTCCATAACACTCCAAAGCCAAAAAATGGTGAAATAACAAATCATATATTTAAAAATTGTATCAAAACCTCTACAAAATAAATAGTTACTTGGCTGTGTTATTTTAACAAATGATTTTCGAGACCAGGTAAAGAAAGAAGTTAAAGTTTGATATGTAAATAGTGCAAAAGAAACTTGGTGTTCTTGAGGTATTGATACTCTCAACCTTTAGATCCAGAGTTGGTCAACTTATCTAAAGGATGAGAGCAGTCGTCTTGCCTGACATAATTGGTCGTTCTATACATAAATAAATACCTTCTCATTTTGAAGTGTTCCTTTAAACACTTTTCCAAATCCACCTTCATCAATGATGTATTCTTGCCGGAAGTTCTTTGTTGCACTGGCTAGCTCCCGGAAAGTGAAGGTCTTGGCATTGGGATTCCCACTTTCTTCGGTGCCCCCCTTAGATACAACAGTTTTGTTGCTGGGAGCAACGGGTGAAGGTGGGGTTATCTCCGGTGGTGGCGTTGTCGGACTACACTCTGCATATGCATTCCCCCCAATATGTGCTTAGCTTGGAGTTAATTGTTTGATTGATTGCTTTATTCTTAACGTGATTAATTATAAGACCATTATTATTATTGTTGTTGTATAGACTTAATTAATTATGCAACGTATCCTAATTATTTCATACATGCATGCATATACAGGACATACCCTTGTTAGGGAAGGTGGTGGGTGTGGCCTGAGGCGAGGAGGAGCCGAGGAGCGGTGGCGGCTGAGCAACAAGGAGCTGCTCCTTGCCGACGTCTTCTTCTTCTTCTTCTTCTTTGTTCCGAAAACACGGGAAGAAGCAGCTCATGTCTCGATCCGGCAGGCGTCAACGACAAGATATCCGGGTTCCGAGTTCCTCCTCCTATATCATTCGACATCAAACCGAACACCTATATGTATACATATGCATATGCATATAATGCGTGCATGGATCAGAGACGATCAAAGCCAGCCAGCCAAAAGGTATGTGAATTATAAGAACAGAAACTATAATGAATTGATAGGAGGGGAGGGGAGGGGAGGGGAGGTTCGGTGCCTGGTCCGACCGGACGGGATGAGGGAAAAGGAGGGTCCTCCGGGAAGGGATGGACGGCGGGCGCCGGAGGAACCCCAGGCTGCAGGCTAGCTAGGGGAAGGAGATGGAAGAAAGGTGGGGGATGTAGGGACAGTGACGAGGAGTAGCATAGCATCCAGGAGAAAGCGACGAGGGTGGGTGGGTGGCTAGGATAATGGCAAAACGACGTACCATTTGGGTGGGGGATCGCAGATTCGGAAGAGATGGAGAAATGCATGGGCGTACATGTTTTTGGGTGGAGATGGCGTTTTCCTATACCCAATTTGTTCTCATTTTTCCTTAAAAAGTGGGGTGGGGGGGAAGGAACTTCATTTATTTATTTTTTTATTTACTCTGTATTTTATTTATTTATTATTATTATCATCATTATCGGACTATTATTATTATTAGTTGTGTTGGGGTTTTGGTAAATTACACCTCTTTTCCTATATTCACACTTTTTGGGAAAAATGGATAGATTTATCCTTGATGTGTAGAAACAATGAAAGACAACATGTTAACTAATTGTAAAATTGAGCATGTATCATAAATTGGGTAGGTATAGCACAAAGTAAAGTGGATTTAGCAACACTCTTTATGTTGTTATTATGTTAACTCTGTCTCAAAACAGATTTGATTTATAATACAACTACAGCTAATGACGATCTATACTTAAGTAAGGTTAATCACGAAACGTGTTTCACTGAAACTCAAACACTCATGAAATACCCTCCTCTTTCGGATTTAGAGCATGTTCTCTTTTGATCAAATTTAATTTGATATGATGGTCTAATTTAAGTTATACGAAGTACATTAAGTTTTTTCTTAGGTTGATGTTAATAAGAATAAGTAAAAATTAATAAAAATAAATCCCCTGGTTCCCATAACATTGGGAACCAATGTCATGGGATGATCCAGACAGTTCCTACCCCCCCCCCCCCNACACGCCAATCCCTTCAATTGCACCCTCCAAGTTAATTTTGACTTTGGAGTCAAATTTTGACTTTTGCTTTTCTTTACTACTATCATTTTGTACATAGAACAAGATTTCGGAGAAGTAGATATATGTGTTTCTTCTTTAAGTTTTTGTGAAAATAATTTTACCCACAAGTTAATCGCTCTCAAACACTCTCCTATTGGTTTATAGGTAGTGCGTTGCTTTGCCTACTTTTAGTGGTTTTTCTCTGTTTGACATGTCAGCTTTAGCTTTTTATATTAAAACCATTATTTTGTACATAAAATACCATTTCAGAGAAGCAATTATGATGTTTTTTTGCTTTTAGCTTTTGTGCAAATCTCTCTATCCACTAGTTAATCATTTCTAAATACCCTCTCAGTTTAATACAATGTACTCTATTCATCCTCAAAAAGCACCACTTTATGATTAACAAGAATGGACTGAAATTATTATAAATTGTATTTATCGCAAGGATTGTAAAGGAATAAAAAACTTCATATATTTTAAAAAACTACTATGTATTTCACAAAATTTACAAAAACAAGATATAACTTAATTACATCATTTTATTTAATTGTCAATACTCAATAGAAATAGTTAAAGGAAAAAAGCTTGATTCCTCAATAGTGAATCAACAACATTAGTGAGTATTTTCCAAGCTCACTCCAAATATCCATTTAAGGTAAGTTAAGACGACAATGACATCAACAACAAATCCAAAAAAAATCTCACACATAAAGATTTGAAAAGAATGTAGAGTGTGTACGCAAACTTTACACTCACACGAAAATAAAGATGCATTTAAGTTGATGCAAGAGAAATTAGACAATACAATTAATGTTTAGGGACATACATTAATATATAGCTACATGCATTAATCAACAAAGCTGAAAAGAGTACAAGAAGCTTCACCATATACCTCATTCACATGACACTCAAAGACATGATTTTATGTAAAACTGTCTGTGTGAAGTCTAGGATGTCAAGCTTGACATTTTCTTTATGGACCATGCTACACTTACACCAAAATTTGTACCCCAAACTTACACCAAAGGTATACACCAACATTTTGATGGTTCACACTGACACAAAGTGTTGGTGCGTTAACAAAAATTTACACTGACACAAAGTGTTGGTGCGCTAACAAAAATTAACATTGCACCAACACAAAATGTTGGTGCACACCTGCGGTGTACATATGGGGTACAAATCCTTGGGTACAAATAGCTTTATCCTTTCTTTATTACAACAACTTTTCATTATTTCATTTACCATCCTCCTCCAGTCCTCCTACTCCTTGGGCCGAATCTCAATCCCTTCAACAATCAAACCACTTTTCCAGTGACCTCTTACCTCCATCAAACTCATAACAATCTCACCATGTTGTCCTCCATCCTTGACAAAAAACTCCCCAATCTCAACTTCCATCCATGCATGGCTCCTCTTTTTAGGGAACTTTGCGGCGTTGTTTTCCGAATCGGCATCCAGGCCGTCCGGTCTCCGAGCACGAGAAAACCCGTAACCCCATTCTTCCCGCGTTACGTCCTCTTGGGTACTCAAAAACACACCCTGCTCTTTTTTAGCTTCTTCATCTCCGTTGATTTTTAACTCAATAGCAGCGTTGACCGGATTGTATTCTCCATAGAAGTCCCGATGGAGATCAAAGCCACTGGCACTCGGTAGCAACGCAAAGACAAGATAAGCTGCGTAGGTTGTGTTGGGTGACAGAAAGGTCGTGCTTATGGTGCCAGATATTTCAAGCCAACACACTTCTAGAAGCTCAGCAACTTCGGCAAACCTAACAATTCATTGAAGAAAAAAACACCACCATCAAAATTTAGTAACCTCTCAAGAGTTCTTGAAGTCGAAACAACCATATCCTTTTGTGAATATATAGTGAAGAATTGACAGGGCTATTATGTTCTTTTCCAAAGAAAAAAACAGATGTATTCCATTCGTCCTGTGAAAGTGTCATGCTTCAGCAACAACAATCCCAGTAAAATCTTACAAAACTATGGTCCGAGAAGATGTGAGTTTGCAGACCTTATTCCTACTAGGAAGTAAAGGGGATGTTTCCAAGAGACCCCGGTTCAACCACAAACGCACATACAAAAAAACACGGTAGCATGAACAATGTAAGAGCATAGAGACAATGTAAGGTCTGAACGTCTATCTAACTACTCTAATCCTAGAACTCCAAGCGCTTCTATCAAAGGTCATATCTTCGATAAGATCCTGAAGTCATAACCCTTGTATAATCACAAATGAAGATAAGCATTCAATGAAATCGCTAAACAAAAAGTTAGAAACTCTCATCCATATTAGAGGAATGTTGCAAGTACAATTAATAATTTGCGTGAGCATTGCAGTGTTAGAAATTAAAGTTTAGATTTTTCTCCAAGTCTTATCCATAGACTACTATCTTAAAAAACAAAAACCAATACCCATTGGGTTATTTGTTCCAATGAATTGGGCAATAAAAGTCACAATCCAAAAAGCAATGAAATTCAACACATTGGTACTTGAAATAGTGTTTACCTGGAGTGAGGGTGAGAGATCCATTTCCAGTATGTAGGTGTGTCACTCCACACAATCTTAAGGGACCTTGCACCTATCATGTAACATTTCTTCCCACTCTTCTTCTCTAGTGAAAAACTCTGCTTGAGCACCAGAAGTTGAAACAATCAACAAAGTTCAGAAAACACAAAGGCCATCCAGTAAAAAAAAAAGCTCAAGTGTATAGAAAATATTGATGTGTACATAATATAATGTGTGCCTTCGTTCAATCTTTAGAGTAGTGTTACGAAGGAACCTTTTGGTGTTCTATGATTACGAAGTACTTCCAATTCAATTCGAATTCGAAGGAGACTTTGTTTGGGAACAATGTTTGTGAATAACATTTTTGATCTCTTTTTTAAAGTTGCAGATTAACTTTGAAAATACTAAAACCAATTCCAGAATGCTAAGGTAAATGCTAAAGTGAATGTCAAACGAAACAGGACGATTTTATCATAAAAACACTAGGGAAAAAACATTTACTAAGAGCTCCTAAGTGATAACTGATAACTTTCATAATTGGATTCAATTATGCAATACTAAATAATTGAATACAATATATAATATTTGATTAGATCAAATACAACTGATTAGCTTATGTGACACAAAACCTAATAAACCTATATTTTTGAAATCATTGGTAAAAATATTACCAAAACATCATTTCTACATCTAAAAGCATATTTTCACCAACAATTTATATCCTTGGTCCGTATCGAACACGAATCATATTGAATTTCAAAACCAATTACAGGAAAAAAAATTAAATTTACAGAAAATTTCAATAGAAATTGGTCTTTCAACTCTTCAAATCTCCTCATCAATTAAATCTAAAGTAGACGAAAGTCAAACGGTTACCATGGTGTCGCCGTCGATAAGGACGGGGAAATCACAGAGACGGAAGTAGAGATCCTTCTTGGAGGCAGAGGCGAGCAGATCGGCGGCGTCAGCAGACCGGGAAATGATATCACGGTAATCGGGAGGAAGGAACCGCTCCCAGACGGCGTCGGATATGGCGGCGGAGCGGAAGATCGACGCGATCAGCGAGAGGCGGCAAGCGTCTCTGGGGCTCGTCAACGACAGAGCGTTGGCGATGCAACCTTCCGGCAGGCCGTCCAGGCTGGCACCGCCGCTGGCCTCCGCCGCCATTGAAATTGCGCGGGGGGGAGTTTTAACGGGTATCTAAGGTAGCTGCGACGCCGCGGGCTTTCTCCGTTAGGACTTGGGAGTTTCCCACAACAAATTCGACCTCAACCACTTCCTTGTTGTATAAACATTTGCTTAGTACTTATTCCGTCCGTCCCAGAGTATTTGTCCACTTTCATTTTTACACACCATTCAATACACTTCTTTAATCCATTTTATCTTATAATTTGTATATTAAAAAATTATAGAAATTATATATTAATAATCTATATGTTAAGACAAATCAAACAAGATCACACATGATTATATTTAGGCTTACACATTGAGAGAATTTGATGAGTCAAAGTGCTTAGATGAACCACTTCCTTGTTGTATAAACATTTGCTTAGTACTTAAGATTGTAAAGGGAGCAAAGAAAGGCGGTCATCGGGTCATACACATATCTCACACGGCTTGTCCCCCACCCGAAAATAATGTTCCCTATTACATAATTGATGATCTCTATTATCAAATAAAATGATATTTTCATTTGATTTTTCATAATCAAAGTTTAAAAATTTTAATCATGATATATGAAAAAAAATATATTGTATTATGATATAAATGTAATATCTTTATATATTTCTATTCAAACGTAGTTTTGAAGTATCAAATTTTTATAAAATATATCTACGTATAAATATAGGTATTATTGGTCAAAGTACAATAATGGAGACCGTGAAAAGTCAAATAGGAAAAATATTTTTGGGCGGGAGAGTATGATTCTTCTTTTATAGGTACTTTTCTACAAATAGTCTGTCTTTGATCTTCTGTCATGTTGGTATTAATTTTAGAGCTAAAAGTATAATTTGACAACAAGCTTATGTTCAGTGACGTATTATGATGTCCGTTATATGGACAACACAGCAATAATAACTATGACCATGGACTAGAATTTCAACAACAGTCTGTTGTTGAAATCCTAGTCCATGGTCATAGTAACTTACAAACGACGCATCAGAAGCGGCCTCTAAAAGTGTCTATGACACGAAAACTATATAATCATTGTGAAATTACACTTCAAGCATTCATATTGACATGAACATGACAATAAATTATAAAATGGACTATTTGTGGAAAGATACTCATAAAAAGGATCATCAGGATAATATTTGATAATAGATGACTAAATAGGAAAAATCTAATGTTATAAAGTATCAATTATGGAATTTAGTCCACTTTCTTTATGGATTTTCATTACTTATTTGATAAAATAATAAAATCATCCCACCTCTTATTTTGTAGCAATTTTGGTATAGTTTTTTAAATATATAATCTTTATTTTTACACATATAATCAAATGATTTGGATTTGAAACTATAACATTTTTTGAGACGGGGGGATATAATGACAATTATTATCTAAGTTCTACATATAATCACATAGAACTCCTTTCACTTCAAAACAATCTTCTTGTTTGTGTATGACACAAAATATAAGAAATGTCAAATTGGGTGGTTGAAAATGATGCTAAAGAAAAAGAAAGATGGTGAACAACAAAAACATTATATTCTTTCATATATTAATATTAATGGTGCTTGTCTATGAAGTGAAATTATATGGTAGAACTGGATGTACATTCTCCTTAGTATATGACAATTTTGTAATTAAAAAAATGTTTAAAAATGAACATCACATTGTTCTGAGAAATAACTTGTTTCAAAATAAATATTATACTGAATAGAAATCAGAATGAATACTACGGTTGAAATTGAATATTTATTAGCGTATTCATAATGAGACAAGGAAGTTATGAATAGTTGTACAAGGGACTTGTGAATAGTTGGACAGATTAATTTGACACTGTAAATAGTTGATGAGACAGAATAGTTAGACAAAAGAGTAATTATTAAGAAATTTTTTTGATGGAAGCTTGTTGGCTTAGTGGTAAAGAAGCTACCCCAAGCTTCACCACACCTACTGTTCGAGCTCTACCCTTGCGTTTTAAGAAATTGACATTTAAAGATTGAACATATATTACAATGATGGGTATGAGACTTATTGAAAAAAAATTATGAAAAGTGATATATAATTAAGAGAGAAATAAAATGAGCCACAAAAAAATCTATAAATAAAAGATGAAATCTTTTTTGGAATAAACAAAAAATATGTATTATAAAACTTTTTTATAAGATTATACAATTAGTTTAAATTACTTTTTCGGTATAATTGTGAGGTTGATTCTAAGGAACTCTGATCTAGAAATAAACTTATCTTGTAATTATCGAATTACCTCCATGGGTACCTTAAATGGTCCAAATGGAATAGTGTTAAGTTGGAGGCTTAGATTTAGTTTGAAATATCCATATATAGATAAAAATTTGAATAGTTACTCCGTAAAATATTACTCGGTACATTGATATTAAAAAAAAAAAAAAAAAAAAAAGACATAGATTAGAGAAAGTACTTCACTACATTATTGTGCATTGAAAGGATTCATATTCCACATTGTTACACTCTATTACATATGTTTATCCTCCTCCTCTTTGGGCCTAATCTCTATCCCTTCCACAACCAAACCACTCTTCCACTGACTATTAATCTCCGTCAACCTCACACCCACCTCACCCCCACCCCCCTCCCCCACGAAAAACTCCCCCAACTCCACCTCCATCCACCCATCACACGATCTCCTCCTCGGGAACCGCCCCGCCGCCCCGCGCTCCAAGTCCGCGTTCATCGCCTGCCGCCTCGCCCGGTAAGTGACCCGCGTCCCGCTCCGCGGCCGGAACGCCATCGGAGGCGCGTGGACGCCGCTAACGTTGCCGCCGTCGTCCCGCTCCGCTCCGCGTGGGTCCAAGTAGACGGTCTGTTTTTTCGCCCCGCCTCTGTTGTCGGCGGTCGTCATCTCGGCGTCGAGCGGCTGGTACTCGAAGCCGTAGGGCTTGGGTTGGAGTGTGAAGACAAGGTAGGCTGCGTAGTTTGTGTTGGGGGAGAGAGTGGTGGTGTCTATGCTGCCACATATTTCAAGCCAGCACACACTTATAAGCTCTGCTGCTTCCAAGAACCTATTTACCAGCTCATCATAGAAACAAAGAGGTAAAAATTAAAGGCAAAAAAGTTATAAATCGGTGTAGGAAAATACTCCCTCTGTTCTAAAAAAAAGGATTCGTAGTTTGACCAAGTGTAAAAATAAAGAAGTGTTAAATTATAGTTGACTTCTAAGTTTGCTCTTGGTGTGATGAGTAAAAGTAAAATGTGATGAATAGATTATTAGAGAAAATAATCTATACTTTTGGGAGCAAGAGTGTCATTTATCAAATTTGTAATAATTCTAAAGGTGCCGGTGGGCGGTGCGCAGTTGGCAAGACAATGGGTGCCAAAGGGGTAAGACCCGAGTTCGATTCCTGGCAACTGCGTTGGGAGGCAACTATGCTATGCATAAGGGCCTCTGCAAGTACCAGGTGCAGGCTCCAGTCTTTGCCACCAATCTGCGATTAAAGTCTAATTTACCTCCTCTCAGTAACCGTCCGACCAGATTCGAAGAGGCCCTCGGAGATGGGGCTCATCTTTTTTTTTGTAATAATTTTAAAGGTAGCTTGCTTAGGATGGTCAAATCAATAGAAGTACCTGGAGTGAGGGAGAGAGATCCACCGCCAGTACTTGGGTGTGTCACTCCAAACAATCTTAAGGGATCTTGAGCCTATCATGTAACATTTCTTCCCACTCTTCTTCTCCAATGAAAAACTCTGCTTGGAGAAACAAATAAACAGTTTTGGAATCCACTCATCAAAAGTTATAAAACCCAAAAAGTTTACAAAACAATAAAAAGGACTAACTTTACTTCACACTGACTTTACATATACACACCCATTTTTTCTATACATGCATGCAACCATGCGCATATGCCAATGTGTTTTAATGTTTTATTTTGATGAGGTCTTATTTTGATGAGGTCTTGGGCGGGCATGGGTGAGGGAAAAAGTAGACCTTTATTAAGAAGAATGGGAAGAGGGTGATTAGACACAGTGGCAGAGCCAGAAAGTTCAGAGAATGGATGCAAAAATAAATTTGTGCAGAAGCCGGCTTCCCGAAGGCCATCTCATTGCCATATAGGGAATTGGGGTGTGGGTTGGGGATCTTCTTGATCGAAGGCGAGCGAAAGGGTGACCGAACCTTAATTAAGAAGAACTGGAAGAGGGTAATTAGACATGATCTAGGATTTCGAGAATATGACAGAACGACTAGAGATATAAAACTAGAATAGTTGGATAATCGTTTGGACCTAGTTTTTGTTCTTGCCGTTGTGTGTTTCTAGGATTGGAGTCTTAATGCTTACACTCATTTGCTCTTCCCTTTTTTCATCAGGGTATGCACTTTTTGTGTTGTTCAAGCCCCTAAAATTAGAGATACATCATTCTACCACAAATTAAAATACTCTTTCCACTCAAAAATAAAATACCCTTTCTGTCAAGGTACAAAATCTCATATTAATAAAGTGATAAATCATATTAAAAGGATTTTTGGAAGGAATGGAGCACTCCCTTAGTCCAAAATTAATCCTCATTATTTTTTTGGAATCTCTCAGAATTAATCTTTCATTCTCTCTTTTTTTTAAATTTTTTGTGATTCACCTTTTCTCACTGATTTGTATCATTTCAACTATACAATTTTACTTTTTTTTGAGTATCAATTTGGGACAGAGAAACTATTATTTTAGCCACTTACAAAATATATAAACAAGTAAAATTTGAGTGATTGGATAATGACCTTCATTTCAAAAGAGAGTAGAATTTAAAAGTAACAGTTACCTTGGTATCGCCGTCGATAAGGACGGGAAAATCACAGAGCCGGAAATACAGATCCTTCTTGGAGGCGGCGGAGGCCAGCAAATCGGCGGCGTCAGCGGACCGGGAAATGATGTCACGGTAATCCGGAGGCAGGAACCGCTCCCAGACGGCGTCTGACATGGCGGCGGAGCGGAAGGTTGATCCGGTCAGCGAGAGGCGGCAAGCGTCTTCCGGGCTCGTCAAGGACAGAGCATTGGCGACGCAACCTTCCGGCAGGCCGTCGAAGTTGATATCTCTGCCTCCAGTCTCCGCCGCCGCCATTGCACTTGCCGATGGCGTTTCTCACGGTCCGTTATGTTTATGCGGCGGTGCCGCCGAACGTTACGTTCGTAGTTTCCCACGTATGGTCGGCCTGGGTAGGCACGAATATTTTG